GCTTCTAGTAACAAGTGCCTTACTAGTAGTAACAAGAAGCTACTAGACCCAGGACCGACCCCTAGATCGATGTTCTGCTATGCCTCGGACGTTTCGTTCAACTAGTTGACTGTTACTAGAAGCGATGCACTTGTTCCTAGTAGCTTCTTGTTACTACTAGTATGGCACTTGTTACTAGTAGCGATGCACTTGTTCCTAATAGCTTCTTGTTACTAGAAGCGATGACAGCGGATTCCTTTCTGAGGCACGGATCGCGCTGACAGCATGAAGATCTCCCGCCAAGCCGATGCTCTTCGTCTTCGCGTCGGGTGCATCAAGCCAGGAGACGCCCATTCCAGACCTCGACCAAGTGCCTTTTTTGCTGAAAAGGCCTCTAAAAAATGCTATGTGTTTTCAAATAAAGCAACTCCTGTTATCTTTTCTCTTATTTTTTGCCTGGGGGAGGGGGTGAGCCCGTAGCTAGTAACCAAGATAGCGACTAGCTTACTTGAGCTACTACCGACAGGACGCAGGATAGCTCACGCTAATGATTTGGTTCCTAGATATTTTGGGAAACTTAACTAGCCGTGCGGTCTGTTTGTGTCACAACTGAGTCTTGTTTGATACAAATAACCTTAAGACCAAGTAGCAATTCTGAAGCCAAGGCTGGGCACTGGAATGGGAAATCCAGCAAAAAGCTCTTGGCCAAACCCAAAGCTCTCGGCTCCTCAGAAACACGGCACGCTCCGTTTTTGAGAAAAACACAACGAAGAAAGTAAGATTTAATAAGGCCCAGGAGCCAGAGGCTACTAGTAGCAAAGGGCATCGCTACTAGGAGCAAGGACGCTACTAGGGGCTCCTGGCCTTACTACTAGGAACAAGAAGCTACTAGGAACAAAACCGTGGTTGTTCTTCTCTTTTCTATTCAGAGGTCCTTAATAGCAGTGGCACCCTGCTGCAAGAGAACTGCCAGCTCCAGCCTGCATATTCGAACGGGCACGGTCGCTTCGTGTGAGGTTTGTTCTTTGCTGCCCATGAGTTTGAAGCGGTTGACAATACAAATTTGGCACCTATGGAGGCAGCTGGATGGCTGAAACAGCAAATCCCTCTCCAACAAGTAGACGCGCTGGCAAAGCCTCAATAGGCAACAAATTGTCTTCTCAGCAAGAAAACGCAAAAAAAAAGTAGAACATCTACTTCCCCTCTCGCCCATGTATCTCAATTCGGGATCCTTCTTTGCTTCAATCTGAATTGCACTAGGGTGGATGCTCTGCACAATCTGCACCTGTAACTTGCCCGTCGCTTTTTGTGCCCAAAAAAGGTTAAAAAAACATGTTTCTTGCAAAAAGAAACACGAGAGCTTTTCTAAAACCATTTCGACTGATCCGAATCGCTTTTCTAAAACTCAAGAGCTTCTCTACACGTCTTCTCTCTTCTCATGTCTCAGCCCAGGCTCGCAAAGGGCAACAGACCTTTCATGCTCGTCGAATAAAGAGAAGCCTCGAGAACACTCTCGAACCGATTGATGGACATGTCGGTAAAATTAGACGCAAAAAATCAAACGTCGCAACTGCTGGGTCGTTCTAAATTCTAGCTGGTGGACCTACGGCTGCTTCACCATTTGCACCGAAGTCTTGTTTCTTTCCAAACAGTTTAAATCACATCATAGCAAACAGACTCAAGAATCATTCTAAATATTGCGAGCAACACGACATCTTGAACCGTTACAGTAACTAATTTATTGAACTGGCCATAGAATAGCTACCCATATGCTACCATGCTAGCCCGGAAGTAGAAAAATAAGAAAATCCGGTCAAACAAATTGAACATGCGACAATACATTACAACACTATATGTCTGTCAAAGTAGTCCAGTAGATTGGAGGCCATTCCTCTTAGGTTGGATGCCGTTGTGTAAGCTCTCCAGTGGCCAAAGCGCTGCATGCGATTTATCGAAATACTTTAGTGCAAACCTTTTGCGAAGCACAGTTGCCACTGCAACTCGGTGGTGTCCCTGGATTCAGCATCACACAGGCAGCGCACATCCTGAGGCTCCAGCTGCCCAGGCTGGACAGAGTTTTGCTATTCTTTTTGTAGATGCAAGCAATGCTTTTTACAGCCCTTTGCGCCGCCATATTGTAGGGTCGAATGCTGATGAAAGGGGAGTCAAGATGAGTCAAGTCCCTTTTCCTAGCGTTAGGGTTACCAGAAGCAGCATGGGTTGAATTCTAAGAACTCATGCATGTTGGACCAGCCATTGAAAGTGCTAGCGTAGATCTGTTTGTCAAGTCCATGTTCAAGCAATTTTATGAACACAAACATGGTTCCAGCTCCGGGGACACAGTGTCTTGACACATACCCGCCGGAGATCAAGACCGGGCGACACGTTTGCGGACCTGTGTTTTGGCGCACGACTCGAGGCAGAGCTGCCAGAAATTGTGATGCGGTCTGATGTGTTTCGGACCAAATCCAAGCTGTCAGGAGACCAATGCATTAGGGCTCGTAGCCCGGGCTGATGACCCGATTTCATTTGCAGTGTCATCTGCTGACCAGATGATTCCAGTTGCGAGACGGGTGTCTGGAGCCGTCTCAGATGCGCTTTTTGTTGCCGGCCCTATGCAAAATTTGAAGGCAGGAAAGACAAAGCTTTTGGCCGACTTTAGGGGCAAGAATGCTGCAGCAAAGCGAAAGCGAATATACTTGGATGGCTCTGTAACTTCGATTGCTTCCCAGGTTGTCAAAGACAACTTGAGACTTGTAGGCGATTATAAGCATCTTGGAACCTGGATCCAGATTCGCCAGAAACATGATAAAGATTATAGAACCAAGTTTGCTGCTGCAAATGATGTCACTAGATATAGATCTCAGATTTTTGGGAATAAAAAAATAGCTGCTTGGAATCCGAGGCAAAGCGGCAGATTGCACCTTTCCAGCATAGCCTTTTTCGCTTGTATAATTTGTGTTCTTGACTATGGAAGCCAAGCACTGCATTGGGAGCAAGCATATGTCTTTGCTGAACAAGATCTCTTGCCGTCGGACCAAGTTCTCACAGTCTCGAATGCGGTATCTGGAGCATTTGGCCCAAAAGGGGGCGGATGCTTTTCTGGGCCCTGGCGCAAGCTAAAGGAAGATGGTGGCAATTGATTCAGAAAGATATACAGTTAAGAAGTTATTGCCCGTCCGACAACTTCCCGTGCCCGACCCAGGAATAGGATAATTTCGAGCAACAAATTCGAGAGGTGCCACAGAGATGGAAAAGTCTAAATTGAAAAGCCATATATCGATTTCGATCATCAACGTAGGAAGCACGATTGGCATCTATGGCATGCAAACATCTACCTAAGTATTCTAGCGAGCAAGATCCCTCCTAGATTGCAATATGCCAGGCCCTGCCAGAGACATTACTGGTTGCCTTGTGGTCGAACATTTGTCAGTGCTTCTGCGTGTGCTGTGAACGCTTTTAAGAAGCATGAGCGCAGGACTTCTGCCCGAGAGTATGTCTCGGGAAGACAATGTGAGGCTTGCCTTCGAACCTACGATAGTTGACTTGAGCAACCATGTAAGCAATGCGCACAAATGTCAAGCCTTTTACCGCAAGCGCGGCATCGCAGCAGAACGTGAACTAGGAGTCAACAGCCGAGCTGCCAACTGAGTGGGGTAAATCTACATGCCAGATCCTGTGTTGCAGGCCGAAGGACCTCAAGTCCTGATTGAACGAATGGCCGGGCACCTCTCGTTTGCGGAGCGAGAAAGTTGCACTCTGGCTAGCTTGGGACGGGGCAATGGAGCGCTATTCTACTCGTGAGAGTTTCGAAGGGCTCCGTGTTGCGACTGTTTCGACACTTCTGTACCATGGAGAGATTTTGGAGAGCATTGTGGCCTGGGGTGCCAGAAGAGAGTCCAAGATATGCTCCAGAATCATTCTCTTGAGGGAGTGATTCAATCTTTTGCTGCTTTAGCCAGTGAGGAATGGTTCTTGGGACGTGAGATGGAATGGTTTGAGGAAAAAGATACAATTGAGCGGTTTTTCCGTGAGCAAGTAACAAGAAGCTAGTAGTAACAAGTGCCACGCTAGTAGTAACAGGAGCCTTACTAGTAGTAACAAGAAGCTATTAGAATGTTTCTTGAAGAGCTGCCTTTTGTTGTTGGCACACCGCGTTACAGACCTCGCATGGTTGCACATGTGTTTTCAGGCACCAAACGGCAGAACGACCTCCAGACCTTTCTGGAACAAGCCGAGTTTACGGCTTTGTCCGTAGACATTTTCCACAGATGGAGTGATTTGAGCAACAAGTCCATGGATTTCCAACGAGCCCTGGTTGCTGGGTTCATATTTAATTGGATGGGCTGCTGGACCGCCTTGCGAGCCATCGAAGGGAGTTGGACCCCACCCTGTTCGCAGTCGAGACAACCGTTTGGCCTGATGGATCTGAGCTGGAAAGAGCATCGTCAAGTGAGCATAATAGGCAGTCTGAGTCTACTTTTGGGAATCGCTTTTCAACTATTTTGGGTTAGTTTGATGGCAGGGGCGACAGCTGTTTTAGAGCACCCAGCCGAAATGGGGCTGGAGATCAACGACCCTAGTATTTGGCGACTCGGTATTGTCGCCTTCTTGTTGCGCCTTCATAACGTTCTGAAAGTGAGGGTCTTCTAGGGCCGCTATGGTGGTCGAACTCCCAAGGAGACCGACGTTTTAATTCTGAACGGTACGACAGATGCTCACAAAGCTCTTGTCCAAGCACGGACTACGACGGACTACCGAACTGCCAAGATCTTGTGCCATAGGATAGAATGGCGATGGGACCTGGAAAACAGCGATTTTGAAGCATTTGGAGGCCACCGCTCTTAGGTTGAAGGCTGCTGCGTTCCAAAGCTGCGCAGCCCTCGCCTCCAATGCTCCGCGGCCACGGCCTTCTGCAGCCCATTGGAGCGCCCGAGTGGCCAGGTCTCCATGGAGGCCCGAGGTCGCAGCTAAGAAACCTCGAGAGAAAAGGAAGGCTTTCGTAATCTGAAGGGTAGAACGAACTTGGAGGTCCGGTAGAGCAAACAAACGTTCACGAGCGGTGCTCACAACCCTTTTCTTAGTTTACGTGTTGGGTGTTTTCTCTTATGCGGGCAGTTCTTTTGTTTCTTAGCGGCATGTTAGCAGTTGTCATGCAGGAGTGAAGGTGTGCAGGAGCTTCATTTTGATCTGTCAAAAAGGTCTAAAGAAGGTCGATCCGAAGAACTAGTAGAAGCTACTAGGAACAAGTGCCTCGCTACTAGTAACAAGTGCCTTACTACGAGTAACAAGAAGCTACTATTAATTTAATTCGAATCAAATTGTTTCTAATAGCTTCTTGTTACTACCAGTAAGGCCCTTTGCTCCTAGTAGCGATGCACTTGTTCCTAGTAGCTTCTTGTTACTACCAGTAAGGCACTTGTTCCTAGGATAAAGAAAATGAAGAAAGGTCTGAATGATGAGGAAACGAAAAGGACGGTGACAGGGGACGTCAGGGATTGAGTCTAAGACATACCAACACCCCTTCACCAGCTGGGACCAAACGTCGATAGGATGTTTAAAGAGAACAGTGTTTGTGTTTGAAATCAGTTCCCATAAATTTGTGTTCCTTGTTTTTATTCTCCTCAGAAAAAAAGAGATAAAACGAGTCTACCTTGCAAAGAGCTACATGTTTAGCACAATTTGAAGGAAACGACGTACAAAAGGCTGAGAGCATTGACGTCCAACGCAAATGAACCTCGGCAAAGGTGCCAAACATGGAGAGCAAAAGTTCCGCGTCGTCTACCTGATCGCCATTGCCATCCATCTCCTGACCAGAACCCTGCTGCTCAGCGCTCTTGTTTTTTCATATCAACAAAAACATGTTTGTGAGACTTGCGAATAAAAACGCTGCGCCCTCTGATTTGTCAGGTTTCTACGTGTCCTGCTTTACAATCTCCACCAGGCCACTCACTGCCTGATGATTCCCGTTACTGTGTTGCGCAACGGCAAGTCGTAAGGCTGCGCTTTTAGCCTGGCCAGTCTTGAACTGAACCAAAGGACCAAAGGACTGGAGATGATCAAGTATTGCAAAAAAGAAACGGAAAAATGTTGCAGTTAAACGATACAAAATGAAGGAACCGCAATTGAATCTACCATGTTCATGTGAGACAAACCTTCGATCTTGCCAAGAGCTTGATGGCTTTTGTCGTCTGCGTGCCATCGCGGGCGAGGAGAAGGCCCGCTGCGGCCTCCGCCAACAAAACAATCAGACCCACATGAGGTGAGCTTTCGCATGTAGATCTTCGACGTAGGGATTCTTGCATGATGTGGGAACATGAAAGCAACTGTTAGATCTTTTGGTTGGTTTCCCGGTTCAGTTTTTTCTGCGCGGGTCCTTCTCCCAATCTTTAAAGTTGAAAAACAAATTTGTTATGGGAATTGACGGACAAACGCCCATCTTGCAACTTGGCAGGTGCCAATTTGTTATGTGAATCCTCACTTGCATGTATTCCGTATTGGTGAAAAAAGTATGAGTTTGTATCCACGCACGTTCTCATGGAGAAAACGCGTGCAAGTTGTGGTTGTCTTTCACACAGCAAAACGTTCTGTTCCAACACATCCAATGCCTCCCAAGCGGTGTCACAAGAATGCAGGCGCCGCTCCCAGGTTTCAGAGGAAGCGGCCGCTCGCGGCGGCAAGCGTTGGAAGTGGTCTTGGCAGCTTGAAGCTCCGAACGCTTTTGTGTAGCGCTTTTGTTTAATTAATCTAATGCTTGTTTCTAATTTAATAGCTTCTTGTTACTACAAGTAAGGCACTTGTTACTAGTAGCGATGCACTTGTTCCTAGTAGCTTAATCACGCTTCAAGCTCTGAAGTCCGCCGACCCCGGCCTGGGCCCAGCGCGCCCAGACACGGTGGCGTTGACGCCGCTGCGCATTCCGTAACTAGACAGCGTACGACGGCGTACACCTTAGGTGTGCCGGAAGCGCGAGGCGGACACACCAGTCCAGACTGGGAGACGAATCAAACAGGCGCGAGGCGGACACAGCAATCCAGACTGACAAAGCGGACACACCTACAAGCATTGAAAACCCCAACAGTAAACTGTTTGGGGAAACTGGGCGCCTTTTGCGGCGGAGTGGGCAAATTACACCCCTGTTCGGACGACGCAAAGCCAAACGCCGATCCAGAGCCAGCGCCTGCACCAGCACGGCACCAGCACCAGCAAAACAAAACGCTGATCCAGCACCTGCACCAGCACGGCAGCAGCGCCGGCAAAACCAAAACGCTGTGGATCCAGCCAGCACCTGCACCTGCGCCAGCATCAGGACGACCTGCAGCTATCTGGCTAACAAGGTACACCCTTCCTCTAAGTATATAGTATTGCTGATACTGCCCAGAAGGGCTTCACTACAGAGGCGAAATAGACAAACTAAAACATCACCCTGAGCGAAACGAGGTTTAAGAAGGCATCAGAAAGGACATGGCAAACTAGGTTGTGGCACCCCGACATACATTCACTGGTGAGCCCCCCCCCAGAAAACGGACGCCAAATGGACATTCATCAAGGGGATGTAAAGATTATGGGGTGGGTAGACATGGAATGATGCCAACTGCCACCAAAGGACACCAAGCAGGTGACCACCGTGCACAACTTATTCAACAAACAATTCTTTGAATGAAGTCTTTCTGTGGCATGGCACGGCGCCATCACTTCAAGGATAGTCCCCTACAAACTAGACCTTTTCCATCCTGTTCCATCCTCTACAAGCAGAGGATTGGCTCGCGCTCTTCTGGCTCCTCCTTCTTCATTGGTCCTCTAGACCTGCTGCTACGGAGGTGGTGATACGTTTGCGACTTATATAGCTGCAGTTGCAGCTTGGAGGTATGTACAGTACATCTGCACAGTACAGTACATCTGCAGCTTGGAGGTATGTACGGTTGAGTAGAGCTGCTGCTACGCTATGCTTTAGTGCGGGGATCTTGCTTGGGTGGATTGCTTTGGTGCTGGGGTCTTGCTTGGATAACTTTCGCTGGGATCTTGCTGAAGTAAAGTCATATGCAAAGTCAACTACAACTGTCGCTGGGGTCTTGCTGAAGTAGAGTCATGTGCAAAATCAAGTATGACTTTGGCTTGGGTCTTGCTTCAGTAAACACATATGCTAAAGTAAACATACGTTAACACAACAGAGTAAAAAAACATATGAGTTAGCGTCAAAAATATATGCTTGGAGTGTTTTCGTTTCACTTTTGTCAGTCCCCTATCGTTTTGCATGGTTTTGGATTTTGCAAGTATGTATACATAGGGGTATCGTTTTTTGTCAGTCCCCTATCGTTTTTCAAGGAAAATCACGAAAGCAACACAGAGATGAAACGTCCCTTACTAAAGTGGTTGATGATAATTTTGAGGTTGCCTCATATGTTTGTTCAACTTGTTCGCGCGTGCATGACACATCTCGGCTCTTTATCTCTTCTTTCTTAGGCGGTGGCCTGGCCGGACAGGGCTTGCGAAACATGACCCCCTGCAGAGATCGCGTGTGTCGAGCGCTCAAACGTGAGGCAAAATGTGAATTCTGGCTTGGCTGGAGGCAGCCCTCTGTGGAGATCGCGCGTGTCAAGTGCTAAGAGATTGCGATGTCCCGCCTCACTTTGGCGCGCTTACTCCAGGTAGCCCCGATGTGCTTTAGTTTGCGATCGTGGTCTCTGTACACGTCCTTTGCGTGCGCATTCTCGGTTCACGTGCGGCAGGCGCGGCTTACCCCTTCGCTTTGGCTCCGTGCGCGTGGCTGTCCGCATAGTGCTTCCAATGTTCGCTAATAGGAACAAGTGCATCGCTACTAGTAACAAGTGCCTTACTACTAGGAACAAGAAGCTGTTAGAAACAATTTGATTCTAAATAAATTAATAGTAGCTTCTTGTTACTACTAGTAAGGCACTTGTTACTACTTTCGAGGCACTTGTTCCTAGTAGCGAACGGCTTTTACTTTTCTGTCTTCGCTTCGGCCACATCAGCTGGCGATGCTCTGTTTCGACTCGGCACGCGGCTGTGACCCCAACGGCACACTTGGCTCAATGAGAGATGGTATTCAAACAATTTCTAACAATACAGGGAGCGGCAGCACCAGGCGGTTGGCCTGTTCTAATCGAAAAGGAAGCTTGAGAATTGGATTGCTTGAGCACGCGTGTCGATGTTTCCAAACAAGATTGAGTCATTAACCTGCCAAGCATCGAAAGAGGAGTCGGCCAACAGCATCAACAATGTCACAAAATCTACTTGGTGACGTCAGCATCTCCGGCGTCTCTGTCTCAATCTGCTCAACCTGATCGTGGAGACTGTCTGATTCAAGAGATCAGGGGACAAGACAATGATTCTAATTGAATTCTTGAAAATAATAGCTTCTTGTTCCTGGTAGCGATGCCAGGAGCCCCTAGTAGCGTCCTTGCTCCTAGTAGCGATGCCAGGAGCCCCTAGTAGCGTCCTTGCTCCTAGTAGCGATGCCAGGAGCCCCTAGTAGCGTCCTTGCTCCTAGTGGAATGTTTCTTGAAGAAAAAGTCAAACAGTGGAGATTTGCCATCGTTGTTTTGTGGGCCTCCGTCCAAACTTCTTCCAGCACATCTTCGGTGGCCGGTGCCTGGAGAACCTGTCACAAGGCAACAGAAGCGAACTGTTCGCTTTCTAGACAACCTAAAGCGATGGCCTCCAACCTACTTGCGATGGCCTCCACCTAGTAGCTTCTAGCTACTAATGGTTTCTTGTTACTGGTAGTAATGCCAGGAGCTACTAGTAGCGCCCTTGCTCCTAGTAGCGACGCCCTTTGTTACTAGTAGCTTCTGGTAGAATGAATGCAGATGGTTTCATGCGAATGCCTCACCAAGAACGATGCACTAGGCTGTGCTATGTCACCTCGGCCAAGCCTCAGCCACATGCTGCAAAGAAGGCACAGGATGCTTCTCAAACCATCGAAGCCATTCCTGGGAGGTTTGTCTGTCAGTGCTTCCCCTTAACCTGGGTTCAACTTAAACTAATTCAATGTTGAAGTTGAAGCATTTTATACAAGCATCACGAAAGCACCTGGTTCACACTATAACTTAGACTACACGAATTGAGTATTGAGTTTAAGTTTTAAGCCGTCAAGATCGGGAGAATTCGCAAGAGAAGGTGTCACCATCCAAAAGGGAAAGGCTGGTGCTTCTTGAACTCTCCAATTTGTGTGTGCTTCTACATGCTTCTACTTAACACAGGAAAGGAAGAACAAAAGGGCACAGGTCAAGAAAAGGGAACATGAAAAGAAAAACACCAAGTTTTAAAAGGACGCAGAAAGAAAGAAACGAAGAAAACATATGGCTTGACAGCTTTAAGGTTGTGAAGAAAGGCGTCAGGGGCCTTGAGGTCATGGACTGCCCGCTTGTAAAAAAGTAACGTTGAAAACGCTGCCTGCAAAATGTATTTCGCGGTTGTTAAAGCTTTGTTGCCAAAAACGTCTTGCAAAGTCTAGGTCTTTTCTGTAAATACAATATACTGGGGACCAAACCTCTTAGGACGTGTTAGGTCCGATGACATAGGGTGGTTTTCCCAAGTCATCATGAAGCAGAACAAATTGGGAATCTAGCTGAATTATAAGACAAGCGATGTGACTTAGGAGTTGTGCACAAGAGACAATATCAGCTTTGCCAAAAGGTTGTGTTTGGCTCACTCACAATCTCCAGTCATGCGTGTTGTCCTTGATGTCTACCATTTCAGGAATCCTCAACAGGGTGTCTTCAGTTTCCTGATCTGGCTACTTTTGGCTTCATGACTTAGGACACGTGCCTTTTGGCACGTTTTACTCTTTCCTCATGACATGGGAATTGTGTTTTTGACTCTACCTCCGACAAATCCTATGTATAAAAGCAAGAAACAAAATAAACAAGTTGAAACTAAACTTAAGCAATTAAGCAAGACAAAAGAGACATCAATGTCTTCCAGCATCGTCCTCCCTTTGCAACGGTGGACCGAAGAACTGCTCCACCTCGCCACGGCCAGCGCTCCATTGATCGCCACTCACTTGCGTGATCAAAGCGAGCACAAGCGGCCGACGCAGCAAACGCCGGATACACATGGGCCAAAGCGGAATGAAGAAGACCTTCTGAAGACCTTTTCTTTTGGGTTTCTTCTTTTCATCCTGTTGCTTTGGTCTGAACATAGTTGTTCATCTTGGTTGACAAAAGCAAGCACTTGCAACAAAGTTTCTGTCCTAGTCTGGTAAGGCACGTTGTCCTTTCTGGCAACTCTGACAAAAGGATCATCTGAAGTCCTACTTGCCCATTATGTATGGAAAGCTGCATCTCACGCACTCTCATACAAATCACATCCCAAGCAAATGTTTGAAAAAAGGCGCATCCGTGAAGATTAAACATAAAAGAGTACACCAACTCACACCGTGTTCCCGGCACAAATCCATCGTGGGTGTCCTTTCGAAGATGAACAGTTGCGGGTCTTGGGCTTAACAACGTCAGAACATGTCCGTTTAGAACTGTCAACCTGTGTCACTTTTGTGCTTTTCATCAAATATGTTCTGTGTTTCTTCTTTGTTGGAATTACTTACAAGTTAAAGGTAAGAGGTAAAGGAATCGATCCGACTAGCTGACTAGGCGACCGGACGGAAAGGTTTGCCGGTGTGTTCACGTTTTTTCATGTTTGTTCGCTTTCCTTGTTGGAACGAAAAGCTGTCTGTTTGCGAATTGACAATTCGAAGCACTGCCTTGTATCCCAGGCGACCTGTCCACCTGCAAAGAGACACTCAACACATCTCAACATAGGTTGGAGGCTATCGCTTTTAGGAGCGATCGGACGCTACTAGGGGCTCCTGGCCTTACTACTAGGAGCGATCGGACGCTGCTAGGAACAAAGGGCATCGCTCTTAGAGGGGAGGCCATGGAGGCCATGGGCTGCACTCTGGGAGCCCAGGTGCCCGACACGTCAGTGTGAGGTGCCACCATGAAAGCACAAGTGAAGCAAGCGAAGCATAGGTGACAGGAGCTAAGCTCTGAGAATTCCAAAAGTCAAGTGTCTGTAGATGTCTTTCTGTTTGCTTGAGTGCATTGGTAGAGCTTGCCTGTAATCTGAGCGATCTATCATGCATAAAAACAACTTTGAACAGCTTGGAGCAAAAACGGCAGTTGAGTTGCACATCCTTTTCAAGAAATGCTGTTTGGCTGCCTCGAATTGAAACGCAAGCGGCCCAAGCAATTGAAAAGTGGTTCCGAGCATCAGCATTCTGGGCATTCACTCTAGGTCCCAAAAGGCAAGAAAATGCCAGGAACATGAAAGGAGACCAGACAAA